GCGCACGCCGTCTGCTGCGTGGAGCCGGTGGTGGCGAAGTGGCCCGGCGAGGCGTCGGTGCACTCGCCCGCGGCGGTGAGGTTGGTGGCGGTCGAGTAGCTGCCCGCAACGCACGGCAGCGGCGCCGACGCGCCCTCGGCGCAGTAGCTGCCCTCCACGCACGGAAGGCAGCTCGTCGCGTTCGACTCGCCCTGGTACGTCCCGCCCGCACAGCTGGCGCACTCGGAGAGGCCGGCCGTGGCGGCGAAAGAGCCCGGCGAGCACTCGGAGGGCGGCGCCGCCCCGCCGCCGCACGACGAGCCGGCGGGGCAGTCGAGGCACTCGGGGTCGCCGCTCCGGTCGGTCAGCCTGGCGTACGTGCCCGCCTCGCACTGCGCGTCCAGCTCGCGCGACGACCCCACCGGGCAAAACTTGCCAGCAGCGCAGCGGACGCAGGCGGCGGCGGCGGGCTGGTCCTGGTAGTACCCCTCGGGGCACAGCTCGCACGCGTCGTTGCGGGTGCCGTTGGCGAAGCTGCCCTCGCGGCACGCCGTCTGCTCGGTGGAGCCGGTGGTGGCGAAGTGGCCCGGCGTGGCGTCGGTGCACTCGCTCGCGTCGGTGAGGTTGGTGGCGCTCGAGTAGCTGCCAGCCTCGCACGGCAGCGCCGCCGCCGCGCCAACAGCGCAGTGGCTTCCCGCCTCGCACGGCTCGCACGCCGTCTTGCCTTCCTCGTCCTGGTACGTGCCGCCGGCGCAGGGCGTGCACGCGCCCTGCCCGTACGCGTCCGTGTACGACCCCTTGGCGCACGCCGTCTGCTGCGTGGAGCCGGTGGTGGCGAAGTGGCCCGGCGAGGCGTCGGTGCACTCGCCCGCGGCGGTGAGGTTGGTGGCGGTCGAGTAGCTGCCCGCAACGCACGGCAGCGGCGCCGACGCGCCCTCGGCGCAGTAGCTGCCCTCCACGCACGGAAGGCAGCTCGTCGCGTTCGACTCGCGCTGGTACGTCCCGCCCGCACAGCTGGCGCACTCGGAGAGGCCGGCCGTGGCGGCGAAAGAGCCCGGCGAGCACTCGGAGGGCGGCGCCGCCCCGCCGCCGCACGACGAGCCGGCGGGGCAGTCGAGGCACTCGGGGTCGCCGCTCCGGTCGGTCAGCCTCGCGTACGTGCCCGCCTCGCACTGCGCGTCCAGCTCGCGCGACGACCCCACCGGGCAAAACTTGCCAGCAGCGCAGCGGACGCAGGCGGCGGCGGCGGGCTGGTCCTGGTAGTACCCCTCGGGGCACAGCTCGCACGCGTCGTTGCGGGTGCCGTTGGCGAAGCTGCCCTCGCGGCACGCCGTCTGCTCGGTGGAGCCGGTGGTGGCGAAGTGGCCCGGCGAGGCGGCGGTGCACTCGCTCGCGTCGGTGAGGTTGGTGGCGCTCGAGTAGCTGCCAGCCTCGCACGGCAGCGCCGCCGCCGCGCCAACGGCGCAGTGGCTTCCCGCCTCGCACGGCTCGCACGCCGTCTTGCCTTCCTCGTCCTGGTACGTGCCGCCGGCGCAGGGCGTGCACGCGCCCTGCCCGTACGCGTCCGTGTACGACCCCTTGGCGCACGCCGTCTGCTGCGTGGAGCCGGTGGTGGCGAAGTGGCCCGGCGAGGCGTCGGTGCACTCGCCCGCGGCGGTGAGGTTGGTGGCGGTCGAGTAGCTGCCCGCAACGCACGGCAGCGGCGCCGACGCGCCCTCGGCGCAGTAGCTGCCCTCCACGCACGGAAGGCAGCTCGTCGCGTTCGACTCGCCCTGGTACGTCCCGCCCGCACAGCTGGCGCACTCGGAGAGGCCGGCCGTGGCGGCGACTGAGCCCGGCGAGCACTCGGAGGGCGGCGCCGCCCCGCCGCCGCACGACGAGCCGGCGGGGCAGTCGAGGCACTCGGGGTCGCCGCTCCGGTCGGTCAGCCTCGCGTACGTGCCCGCCTCGCACTGCGCGTCCAGCTCGCGCGACGACCCCACCGGGCAAAACTTGCCAGCAGCGCAGCGGACGCAAGCGGCCTTGCCGGTCTCGTTCTGGAAGTACCCCTCGGGGCACAGCTCGCACGCGTCGTTGCGAATGCCGTTGGCGAAGCTGCCCTCGCGGCACGCCGTCTGCTCGGTGGAGCCGGTGGTGGCGAAGTGGCCCGGCGAGGCGTCGGTGCACTCGCTCGCGTCGGTGAGGTTGGTGGCGCTCGAGTAGCTGCCAGCCTCGCACGGCAGCGCCGCCGCCGCGCCAACAGCGCAGTAGCTTCCCGCCTCGCACGGCTCGCACGCCGTCTTGCCTTCCTCGTCCTGGTACGTGCCGCCGGCGCAGGGCGTGCACGCGCCCTGCCCGTACGCGTCCGTGTACGACCCCTTGGCGCACGCCGTCTGCTGCGTGGAGCCGGTGGTGGCGAAGTGGCCCGGCGAGGCGTCGGTGCACTCGCCCGCGGCGGTGAGGTTGGTGGCGGTGGAGAACGTGCCCTCTTCGCACGGCAGCGGCGCCGACGCGCCCTTGGCGCAGTAGCTTCCCGCCTCGCAGTCTCGGCAGGAGGTCGCGCCCGTGTCGTTCTGGTAACGGCCCGCAGGACAGTCCTTGCACTCACTCAGCCCGGAGGCGTCGCCGTATGTTCCAGCCCGGCAGCTCGCGCACGTCTCGCTTTTTTTCTCGCCGGTGGTCGGGCTAGAGGTGCCGGGGGGGCATTGCTGACAGTCATCGGATGAGCTGCTGCCCTGCCCCTCGTTGTAGGTACCTGCTGGACACGGCGTGAAGCCGCCGCCGCACGTCGCAGCGGCGTCGCAGTATCCGCCCGTGGCACACGTGTCGCATGACGTCTGGCCGCGCTCAGCCTGGAACTGGCCAGCAGGGCAACGCGTGCACGCGGCCTGGCCGGTGAGGTCCTGGTACTCGCCCGCAGGGCAAGCAAAGCACTCGTCGACGGCGACGGCGTCCGCAAAGCTGCCTGTGGGGCACTCGACGCAGCTGGGCTGATTCCAGGTGGTTGGGTCGCTCTCTGTGCGGGTCGCCGCAACGCTGGTGTTGTAGAAGACGCCCCGCTTGTCTTTGCAAGCAGTGCACGCGTCGCTGCCGAGCGGGCGCTCGCCGAGTGGACAGGGGTCTGTCGCGCAGAGCTCTCCGACACCGGGCTGCTGCACAAAGTCGGGGAGGCACTCGACGCAGGAGGTGCCCGCGAGTCCCATGAAGGAAGGGCACTTGAAGCACCAGCTCTTGCCGTGGAGCTGTGCACCTCCGCGTGAGCAGACGCTCCCAAAGAGGATCTGGTTCTCTTGGTTCTCGTTGCCGATTACGATGTCCACGAACCCGTCCCCATCGACGTCCGCCACCGAGGTGGAGATAGTGGACTTGCTCCCTCCAGGAAGGGCGAACCGGTTCGCGGCCTCTCCAGGAAGGGCGAACTCGGAGAAGGTCCTCCCGTCCGCGCTCCCAAAGAGGATCTGGTTCTCTTGGTCGTAGTTGCCGATTACGATGTCCATGAACCCGTCCCCGTCGACGTCCGCCACCGAGGTGGAGCGAGTGTCCCTGCTCCCTCCAGGAAGGGCGACCTCGGAGAAGGTCCTCCCGTCCGCGCTCCCAAAGAGGATCTGGTTCTCTTGGTCTTTGGTGCCGACCACGATGTCCATGTACCCGTCCCCGTCGACGTCCGCCACCGAGGTGGAGGAAGTGCTTCTGCTCCAGTTCATGCATGTACTATCATCATAGTCATAGTACATGCATCGACCTCCGGGGAGGGCGACCTCGGAGAAGGTCCTCCCGTCCGCGCTCCCAAAGAGGATGTACTCGCCCACCATACTTGCCCACTCGCCGTACTTGCCCACCACGATGTCCATGAACCCGTCCCCGTCGACGTCCGCCACGCCCCCTTCAAGAAACATGCTCCATTCAGGAAGGGCGACCTCGGAGAAGGTCCTCCCGTCCGCGCTCCCAAAGAAGATTTGGTTGCCGACCACGATGTCCATGAACCCGTCCCCGTCGACGTCCGCCACCGAGGTGGACGTGCTCCCGCCAGGAAGGGCGACCTCGGAGAAGGTCCTCCCGTCCGCGCTCCCAAAGAGGACCTGGTTCTCATAGTAGGTGCCGACCACGATTCGACGCACGATGTCCACGAACCCGTCCCCGTCCACGTCCGCCACCGAGGTGATGCGCCCTCCAGGGAGGGCGACCTCGGAAAAGGTCCTCCCGTCCGCGCTCCCAAAGAGGACCTGGTTCTCTTGGTTGGCGTTGCCGTACCAGTATGAGTTGTAGTTGCCGACCACGATGTCCACGAACCCGTCCCCGTCCACGTCCGCCACCGAGGTTATGCGCCCTCCAGTGAGGGCGACCTCGGAGAAGGTCCTCCCGTCCGCGCTCCCAAACAGGACATGGTTCTCTTGGCCGTTGTTGCCGACCACGATGTCCATGTACCCGTCCCCGTCGACGTCCGCCACCGAGGGGGACCAAGTGCCACTGCCTCCTCCAGGGAGGGCGAACTCGGAGAAGGTCCTCCCGTCCGCGCGCCCAAAGAGAATCTGGTTCTCGCCGTACTTGCCCACCACGATGTCCATGAACCCGTCCCCGTTCACGTCCGCCACCGAGGTGGAGGTAGTGTACCCGCTCCCTCCGCTCCCTCCAGGGAGGGCGACCTCGGAGAAGGTCCTATTGCCTGTCCCAAACAGGATCTGGTTCTCTTGGCCTTGGTTGCCGACCACGATGTCCATGAACCCGTCCCCGTCGACGTCCGCCACCGAGGTGGACCAAGTGCTCCCGCTGCCTCCAGGAAGGGCGAACTCAGAGAAGGTCCTCCCGTCCGCGCTCCCAAAGAGGATCTGATTCTCTCCGCACCCGGAGGCGTAGTCCATGCACCCGTAGTTGCCGATTACGATGTCCACGAACCCGTCCCCGTCGACGTCCGCCACCGAGGTGGAGTCAGTCCACCTGTTCCCTCCAGGGAGGGCGAACTCGGAGAAGGTCCTAGGGAGAGTACGCGCAGGCTTTCGGAGACGGGAGAGGGATGATCACAATCCTGGCGTGCGCACGCGCACCTTGGCTCCGAGGAGCGAAGGCGACACCGACTCGGAGATGACGATCGTGATGCGGCCGTCGTCAGCCGGCACGATTCCGACCTTCGCGAAGGACTTCATCGGCGAAGACTCGCCCGCGACGTTGCCGCCGCCCGCGTCAATGCCGTCCTTGAGCGGGCTGGGCTCGCTCTCGGGCGGGATGCCGACGGCCTTGGCCTTGGCCTTGGCCGAGTCGACCGTGCCCGCGGCGGGCGCCTCTGCCGAAGGGTCTTTCTTGATGATGCTCTCGTCGGAGGCCTCCGCGCCAGACTTTGCGGGGACGTCCTTCACGAGGGCGTTCTTGGCGCCGCACGCCTGTGGGCCAGGGACGATACGGCGGCGTTGGGACGGGAGATCGCGCTGATAGGATGAACACGCGCATAGACAGGCACCTCGGCTCCGAGGAGCGAAGGGGATTCCGACGCAAACGAGAGGACGATTGTGACTCGGCCTCCGTCGCCGGCCGGCACGAAGCCAACCTTCGCTTTGTAGTCGATGTTGTCCATGATCGAGTTGTCCTGTGCAAGTCGCATCATCATGAAGGTTGAGACGGGCCCTTGCATTGGATGTGCACAAACAGCTATATTCGCTTTGTGGAGGTGTACGGGGTCTGAAATGAGAGGGACGGGGGACGGGGGACAAAGTCGATCAGCCTGCGGGGCGGGGTGGGGTGCGGGAAGCGGGCTCAAGATGCTTGGACACGCGCGGCAGCTGGCTGGCAGAGGAGGGGCGGCAGACGCTCGGCGACGAAGGGCTGTAACTGACGGCAGAAAAGGCGGTGGGCGGACAGGCGGAGGCGGCGGTCCCTAAAGGGCGGCGGCGGCGGCGGAGAAGGGTGGGGGCTGTAACGACCGAAAAGGCGGCGACGACGACGGCGGCAGCGTCGAGA